CAAAAAAAAAAAAAAAAAAAAAAAAACAGCAACAAAAGCAAAAAATAAAAACTGTCCCCAAACCCAATAAACAGTGGTCATTATGTGACATATGTGTCCCCCATGGTAGCCATCTCTGATAAAAATTCATTTAAAGAGAAATACCTACCAATGGTCACAGCCTTCATTTATAAAGAGTTCTAACAAGTCAATAAGAAACTATCACTGCAAGTAAAATTAAAAGTAGAACTAAACATAAATGTAAAAGAATAGGAATAAAAAGTAGAGAAAAGACAGGAATAGAAAGCATAGGTAGGAAAGACATTTTATGGATCTTAGGTGTAAATATTCAGTGCTGGCTCTGGCTTCTCTTATCTGTGCCTATTTTTCCAATGCACTCAATTCACTGGGCAGCACATACCTTGGCCTTCAATCTGATACAATCTCATCAGTTCTTTTCTGTTTACCTTCCCTCCACAACACTGCAGTTCTAAGCCTGCCAAGGAGCAGGTGAGTCAAGAGCACACTGAAGGAGGGGTGAAAGACCTACGTTACGGCTCTACCACTTACTACTACAGGCTGTGCATCCCTAATCCAAACACCCCAGGTCCAAAAAGCTCCAAAACCGGAGTGCTAAGTTGAGTCATAAGTGGAAAATTCCACACATGACTGCAGGTCATAATAGGCTGAAGTCACACTGCAGGTGTACACACAAAAAAAACATATAAAATGGCCTTCAGGCTGTGTCCAAGGTATGCATGAAACAGACGAATTCTGCGTTTAGATCTGGAGTCCATCCCTAAGATATCTTAATTCGTAAATGTCAATATTCTAAAATCTGAAAAAATTGAAATCAGAAACACTTCCGGTCCTGAACTAGAGTTTAGCTGCCCATTGAATGGGGCCCAAAATACCTGCTTGTCTGCACCACGGAGATGTTTTGTTAATTTATTCAAACAATCACTAAGCCAGATCCTGTGCAGCACAACGGGACACAAAAATGCAGATGATCTGGTGCCTGTTCTCAATGACTTCAAGGCACCCCCTGAAAGTGTTACCCAAGGGTGAGAAGCATTGCTGTTACACAGTAGGGTGTGGTACATGCTGGGACCGTGGGACAGGCACGAAGTCACAAATCCTGATGGACCCCGAAAGCTTGACAGGATAGAACTACAGATGCAACCTTCCTTCTAGACTCAGTGAGGGAGGAACTCTTGATGCCAAAGAGAAGGGACCCTTTCTAATCTGGGGACATACATGGTCCATCGCCCTATTCCCCTTCCAGAAAATCAGGAAAGCTCCTGAGCAATCAGGGAGCAATGGGAGCTACACAGGGTGAGCAACAGGCCCCATTATGAGTTCAAGCCCCTAATCAACCACTGCCCTCCGACTTCCAAAATCTTTCAATCGCTGAGCCAAGGAGCCGGGAGGAAGCTGGGACACCCTCTTCTCCCACCACAGGCACCAGCCCTGATTTCTCAGCCTGGTGAATAAATGAAAATCATGGACACTTCAGGAGTCTCAAAACCACTGTGGAAGACCACCCTGGAACTGGCCTCCTTCCTTCCCCTCCCTCTTAAACGAAAGAAATGACACAGATAAAACAAAAGCAGAAGTCAATTAAAATCACCTACACTCCTACAACCAAGGAGTAGTACTCCAAACCAGATGCTGTAAAACCTTTCAGATTTTTTCCTCAGGCAAATCTTTCATACACTGGCTAAAATGGCTACCATTTATCATACGCTTTTATGGGTGCTGTGAGAAGTACAGGAATCCTGTCACAGAACATCCCCAGGAGACAGGAATGTAATTATTCATGAAATGAAGAAACCACGTCCTGGGAGGTAACCTAAGTTGGCCACGGTCACTGGACTGGTAATGTTCAGAGCCACGACTGGAACCTGTGTCTGTCCTGGTACCAAAAGGTAGGGCCCACCCACACCAGACTCCCGCCAGCTCCACCTGAGTAACAGCCACAGTACCTGTTGGGGCTGAGGTTCTGGCCGGTGTCAAAAGCTCGTGCCACAAGGATCATGCATTGTCTGTCACCAGCTTCAGCTGCCTTCAGTAAGTAGTCAAATCCTTTTGTTTTATTCTCTTCCGTTTCCTGTCAACACAGACCGAAGAAGGGGGAGAGAAAAAAGCAACTGAAGCATTCCCAAAGGGAAGGGGCTGCCAAGATCTTACCCATCAGTCTTTTCAGTCTTCTCCCCATTTTCTGAATTATTCTGAGAATTCAGACCCAGAGGTACAGTAGTGTGTGTGTGTGTGTGTGTGTGTGTGTGTGTGTGTGTGTAGTACTGGGGATTGAACCCAGGGCCTTTGCACTCAGCTACATCCCCAGACCTCCCACCAACTCCCACCCCCCGTTTTTTGAAAGACAGGGTCTCACTAAGTTGCCCAGGCTGGTCTTGAACTTGTGATCCTCCTGCCTCAGCCTCCCAGCGTGCTGCGATTACACATCACAGGTCTTTAGTATATTCATGGAATTATGCGATCATCATTTTAATCAATTTTCATCAACCCAAAAAGAAATACCATTCCCTGCTTCCCTTCTGCTCCCCCCATGATCCATCCCACAGCAGCAAGAAAGATGTCTGCAAAGCCTGAGTTAGGTCACATCACACTCCGAAAACTGCTCCACCACTTCCCCTCTCACTCAGACAAATCCAAAGCCTTCATAGTGGCCTGTGAAGACCTCCTCAACCTTCAAGCCCAAGATGGTTGTCAGGGTCTACCTGGTGTGTACATACTCGTTCTTCCTGCCTTGTCTTTGGTAGGCCCATGGTTAGCCAGCGCAAGACTACATTTCCCAGCCTCCCTTGTACCCCGAATTTATGTCTAATACCATGGCCCTATCCAGTCTCTAATCACATTCAGTATCTTATTTCTCCCTGGTATCTTAGAACAATACTTAGCACAGGAAGAGACCTCAATAAAGGTTATTTTTAATTATGTTGGAAGCATTTTATTTGGTCATCATTATCTGTATTAATAAGCTTTTCCTTCTGAAAAGTCTGCTTCATGAGAGCAGGGACCTTGTCTATCTCCCTCACTGTTACGAATATAAACCTAGTGAGACCAGGAAGGTAGAGGGCAGGAAAGAAGGAAAAGTCTGTTCTCGTAAAATCAGCAAAAGACAGCAGCTCATTGTTTCAAAGGACAAGGGCCTGGGTAAACTGAGATTTGCCCTGGGAAGCTGAGGGTCCAAGGGAAGTCTCCTCTCTCTGATGTCAGGAGCTTAGCTAAAACCAGCAACTGCACTGTTTCATTGCCTTATTTTTTGCACACCCACCAAAACAGCCCAATAAAGTATATAAACGCCTGAACTTCGGTGCTCCTCAGTGTCCTCCCTGGGAGCCCCTTTCTGTTAGCAAGAGCTTTTCTTTGTTGTTTCTTATAAACTCTACTTGATTCATCCCGGACTGCCGTGTCCGTGGACTTCATTTGTCATCCCCAGGATAACAGCGCAGAGGGAGGAGAACACTGGTTATACTAGGATGTTGTCCACAGCGCAGGAGATGCTCACTAACTATGAGTAGCTAAATAAAGGAACAAATAAAGGCAACAGAAAAAGGTCCAGAGAGTGCAGACCTTGGAGAAAGTGAGAGAGGGGGTTTCTAGGACACACAGTGGCCTCTCAGGGCTCAGAGCTATCATTTTCCTTGCTAAGCCATAAGGCTGGCTTGACACAGCTCGCTTCTTTCTTCTGTGTGCTGTGCTCACCACACTGCTCCTTGCAACCCTACTCCTGCCAGGGGACGCTACCAGTCTGACCCTCAGAGAAAGGCCCTTGGAATACCTACAGACAAGGAAGCGTCTTAATCCCTTTACAACATTGCTAGGTGCAAATGGTGATAACAGCCTGCAATCACAAGGCTCAGAGAATCGCAGACAGACGGGACACTTTGTGGTCCTGGTCCTGGTCCTTGTCCTGGTCCTGGTCCTCTGCCCCTCACACTCTGTCCCAGGCCTTCCTCCCTACAGGCCTCAACACTTCTGACTCTCCTCAGGTAGATGCTGGTCCAGGCTGGAATGCAGCAGCGTGCAGCAGTGAGCTCAAAGAGGACCTAGACATTCAGGAATTTAGCAAACCAGTTAAGAAGCACAGCCATTATTAGAAATTAAGTCACAGGCTGGAGGCGTAGCGTGGTGGGAGAGTGCTTGCTTAGCATGAATGAGGCCCTGGATTTGAGCCATATCACTGAAAAAAAAATTTATATAAACCTACAGAAGGAGATGAATCACATTAGAAACAAAGGTAGCAAATATTCAGAACTCGTCACTTCGTAATTCACTTTACTACATGTTACTATGATCTATCCTCTCAAGGTTATGTCTATTCTGGGGTTTCTCCATCTCAGCCTTGCAGTCATTTGGTGCCATATAAATTCTTCACCGTGGGAGCTGCCTGTGCTTTCAATGGAGTCACCAGTACCTCTGCTCTCCACTCCCGAGATGCCAGCAGCACCTCACTGGCTGTGACAATAAAAAATGCCCCCAGACACTGGTGAATATCCCCTAGGAGAAGCAGGAAGGAAAGTCTCTGGTTGGGTTTTTGCTTCAGCAGCACACAGAGCAAAACCGCAAAAACACAGAGAGCATTAGCAAGAGCCCCGCACAAGGATGACACAGAAATTTGTGAAGAATCTCATATTTTTAGAGACTAGGGAATGAAAGAGAAAGAGGCTAGTCTATGGGTATAAAGTTACAAGTAACAAGAAGGAGCTGGGAGCTCCCCTGTAACCCCAGCACTCAAAAGGCTGAGGCAGGAGGATCACTGTGAGTTCAAGACCAGCCTGAATGACACAGCAAGACTCTGTCTCAAAAAACAAGTAGCAAGAAGGGTAAATTCTGGTGCTCTATTTCACAGTTAACTAGTTAAGTATAACAGATGTTTCAAAATAGCTAAGAGAGGGCCGGGGATTTAGCTCAGCAGTTTGGTGGCCTGCCTTGCAAGCGCCAAGGACCCGAGTTCAATCCCCAGTAGCAAAACAAACAAACAAACAAAAAACCCAACAAAATAGCTAGGAGGACAATTTTGATACTCGGCACCAAAAAAAAAAAAAAGCTGCGTGGGGATAGCCAGAAGAGGTGGCACACCCCAGTAATCCCAGAACTCGGGAGGCTGAAGCAGGAGGATCACCATGAGTTTGAGGCCAGCCTGGGCTACATAGTGAGTTCAAGGCTGGCCTGAACTAGATAGTGAGATCCTTTCTCAAAACAAACAAAAAAGCAACTAGAGGGCCAGGGATTTAGCTCAGTGGCACCACACTTGTCTTGTAAGCACAAGGTCCTAAGTTTGATCCTCAATACCGGGAGGAATAAAAAAAGGTTTTTGAATGCTCCTACCAAAAAAATGATAATAATAATGTATTAGGGAGTGATATGCTAATTATCCTGAAGCGCTCTTTACACAATGTACACGTTTTGAAACATCTTGCTGTACCCCACAAATATGTACAATTATCAGCTTAAAAATTTTAAAAGAGAATCAGTTGAGAGTCACTCCTGGGTTACTGCATCTGTATGCTGGACACACTTTTTTTTGGGGGGGTACCAGGAATCAAACCCAGGACCTTGCGCTCATGAGGCAGGCGGCGGCACCACTGAGCTAAATCCCCAGCTAGACTAAGACTATTTTACAGTGCCGCTCCCGAGGCATTCATGCCAACTCCACATTCAGTGATGTCGCTCTGGACACTGGCACTTGGCCCTCTCACGCCACACCCTGGAAAGCAGAACATGCTACAGATCAGGCTTTGACTTATTGTTTCTTGATTTTCTAAACTTAAGAAATGGATGAAAAAAATAGGAATTCTACAGATTAGATTTAAAACGCTGTTATGCCTATGGCTATTCTATTACGACTAGCAGAAGAAATTGGGAGAATGTTCTTGCAGTATATAAAACTATTATCTGATTCAATGGCACAGTGGCCCACATCTGTATTTCTAGCACTCCAGACGCTGAGGCAGGAGGACGGTCATTAGTCTGAGGCCAGCATGGGCTACAAAATGAGTTCAAGGGCAGCCTAAACTACACAGTAAGACCCTGTCACATAAATAAATAAATAAATAAACAAATTACTTGTTAAGCTGAGAATGAGAGAGGAAAAAGTGGAGGGAGAGTTTTCACTGTAAACCTTTTCATACTGAAAAATCTTCAGTCACATAAATGTATCACCTATTCAAAGAGTTAAACAAAAGACTTGAATTTTTTCTTATGCTGCTCCCGTCTGCAATCCGCCCGAACACTGGCCATGATCAAGCCCTAAGGAGGGCTGGTGTCGCACCCATGTGGAGCCCAGGGGTGCCCAGGTTCTGTCCGCCTGCCAGCCTGGCCAAAGCAATGATGAGGACGGGGATAGACACGGCCACCTCTCAACTTCTAGGCAAAGACCTCCGTCTCTAGGCCTCACCAGATCCTGACCACTCAGTCCTTCCCTCCTAAGCCCACAGACCAGGCAAAAGAGAAGGAAACCCCACACAATTCTCAACACATCTCACATCGTCCTGCCTCGGGTCCCACCTTAAGCCCCAGCTTTTTGCAGTCACAGCCCCACATCCCAGCCCCACTGCCCGCCTCTTGGCCTCAGCCCTGCCACCTTGTCACTGTGTCTGGGCCTAAACATGTGCAGTTCGCTCTGCCCAACGGCTCACTTTCTATACTTGGCCTGGCTCTCTCCCATCAAGCCTTGAGGTCCACCTCAGACTTCTCACTCTGATTGAGTGGGCACACATTAAGCGCCATGCTCTGCTCTAGCCACTAAGAGCATGGCCAAAGCTGAGACGCAGGAGGCCTGTGCAGACCCGAGAAACCCCAGCCAGCCAGTGTGGTGGTACACACCCGCAGTCCTAGCTATTTGGGAGGCTGAGTGAGGCAGGAGGCTGCAAGTTTGAGGCTAACCTGGGCAACCAGAAAGACCCTGCCTTAAGGAAGAAAAGAAAAATAACAGAAAACAAAAACAAAACTTGGGATATAGCTCAGGGGTAGAGTGCTTGCCTAACAGGTATGAGCCCCTGAACTCAGGCCCCTTTCTCACTTGTTTTCACCAGCATCCTTACTTACCCAGCACACTGTTTTCATGGCCCAGAAATGTGACTAATGTGACTGTCACCTCCCACACACTAAGGACACACTGTTTTTCTTTTGGTGGTGGGACTGGGAATTGAACCAAAGGCCTTTTCACCTAGCTACATCCCTAGCTCTGTCCACATTTTGGGAGTTGTTTCCTTAGACAGGGTCCCATTATGTAGTCCAGGCCAGCCTTGAACTTACAGACTGGCCTCGAACTTGTGGCCTCCGCCTCCAATCACAGGCATGCACCACCATGCCTAGCAATTTTCCTTTTTCTTTTCTTTCTTTTCAGGGCCTCACTAAGTTGCCCAGGCTGGGTTCAAACTTGTGATCCTCCCGCCTCAGCCTCCCAGAGTGCTGGGATTATAGATGTGTGTCACCATACTTGGCTGACAGAGACCAATCCTATCAGTTTCAATTAATTGTGAAGTACCCGGCCCCAAACAATGCCCAGAATGACCCCGTTACACAGATGACTTTCCAGGAGCCAGGCAGTAACCTCCAGGACAGGAAGGCTGGGGAGCCAGGGGTGAGAAGCCAAGCCCGCTGCTTCCTGCTGCCTCCCTGCCCTTACCTCCAGAGAGACGTCAGCCAGGATGTGGTGGGGCAGCTGTGAGTACATGAGCCCCAGCCCCACGATGGCCTCCAGCTCGCCCAGGCCGGCTGCATGCTCCAGGTGGAAGACAGCAGAGTCACGGTCCCACGCCTCATCCTTCTTGCAGAAGCGCCCGCCCTCATGGTAGCGCACCATGGCCAGGTGGACCTGCCACACAGACTGTGGTGTTGGCCCAGCTGCCCGGGAGGCCGAAGCCACACCCAGGGGCCACCCAGCCAGCCTGGGTGGAGGTGATATGTAAGGAGGGGCCCTGGGTGAGCGCAGGGAGGGCTCCAAAGTGGGCAGAGCGATACCTTCCCCAAGACGGACTTCCCGATCTTCTTTTCAAGGTCCAGAGCATTGAGCCGCTGCACTTCCAGGGCCACGGCCGAGGGCCTGGGCAGGTGGAGGCGGGAGGGGTTGAGGAGGTTCCACTTCTCCACACAGACCTATGGGAGAGAACCGGGCAGGGGAGTTTACGGCTGGACAAGTGCTGGGCCAGGACAGAGCCGCTCTGCAGAGAAGCCAGCTGGCACGGGCAGGAGTGAACCCTCAGCGCCAAAGTTCACTGCCTTCAGTTTCGTCTTTTACACGCCACCAGCTCGCGGAGGCGGAGAGACTGTGGCATCAGGACACACACCTGGCAGAAGGTACAGCGGAAGCTCAGAGCAGCATCTTTCCTCATTTCTTAACCTGGGCCCGGCTGGACGTTAACACTCAGCCTGCTCTTTCACAGCTCCCTGTACCAGGTACCCAGAAAGTCAGACTTCAGCAAACACTTGCTCTGCTATGTGAATCAGCCTGATGCTCTGGGCAGCATCTGCAGGTGCTGCAGGAATGGGTTCAGGAAACGTCATTTCCCCAGCCAGAGATGCCCTGTCCAAGGTTCTTGCAGAGCACGGCCAGGTGGCTGCGCTTGGCACATGTGCGTGCTGAATGTCCTAGGACGCTGAGGCGTGCCCACTCTAAAGAACGCGCCATCCAGAACAGTAGTGTGCGGCCACTGAGCAACCCTGCCCGCGCCACAGGCCCCTGACCAGACTGGCTGGGAGGGGAGTGAGGACTGACAGCACTGTGGGAGGAGCAAGAGGTAAGTGTGCAGGGGGAAGGGGGCAGGTGAGGGACGGCATCTGGGGAAGCGTGGGGGGGGGCCTTGCAGACGAGACCACTTAGCAAAGGCTCAGTCCAGAGTCAGCAAGAGAAGCGTGCACAGGGTGCAGGGCTGGTCTTACCCAGATCTGCGGGATGCTGTATTTATTATACACACAGGCTGAGCATCCCCAACATGAAAACCCAAAACCACAAAGGATCCAAAATCCAAAATGTTTTGAGTTCCAACGCAAGTAGAAAACTACACACCAACCCTGTGGTACAGATCTCGGTCAAAACCAAGCGCACAAAAAATAATGCATAAGATTACCTTCAGGTCTATATATTACCTTTAAGCTAAATAGAAAACATAAATGAAATTCATGTTTAGACTTGAGTCCCACCCCCAACGTATCTCATTATGTATATGCAAATATTTGAAAATCAAACAAAATTCTGAAATCCAAACACTTGTAGTCCCAACATCTCCAATATGGAATACTCAACCTGGACTAGCTGATAACCCAGAGAAAGCTGGCTAGGATTTTAGTTTTCACAAACATAAAATGGGAATGAAAAAGTTGGGCATAAATCAATTGTAAACTGGATAAAGAAGATGTGATTTTTCTATAAAATGGAATACTACTCAGCCATAAAGAATGAGAAAGTAGATTTATTCATAGGTAAATGGGTTCATTTTGAGGATATACTCCTATGTGAAATAAATAAGTCACACATATGCAAATACCAAATAGTTTCTCTGATATGAAAAACTAAAATAGTACTCAAGATCCTAATGGGGCAATTAGCAATGTGAAATAGGAAGAAAAGGACCAAAGGTGTAGGGACAGTGAGAAGGATAGGGAAAGGGGAGTAAGGGAAAAGGAAAAAAATATGAGAAAATGTAAAAATGGAATTAAAGTGTTTGAAGGTGGGGAGGGTTTTTGAAGGGAGGGTGGGGACAAGGGGAAAAAATGAGAACCAAGACCTGGCATGTAAAGGTACAAGATCCCAGTAATGAATGTAACTGTACTGTCTACCTAGAATGTACCAATAAATTCAATTAAAAAAAGAAAAGAAAAAGTTGGGCATGGTGGCACATGCCTGGAATCCCAGTTAGGTGGGAGGCTGAGGCATGAGTTCAAGACCAGCCTAGGTAATTTAGTGAGTTCCTAGCTAAATAATAATAGTAATAATAGTAATAAAAATAAAATGAAGATAGGAAGAAATAAAAAAAGAAAAATTTAAAAAGAAAGGCTGTGGACATCAGCCGGTGGTACAGTGTCACTGTGCTTGATCCCTGGTACTGCAAAAAAAAAAAGAAAGCGTGTGGGGTAGGGGAAGGAGTTGGGAAACAACAGCCTGCCTATGGCTGCTTGCAAGCACAAAGTAAGTCTCTGAGACACCCCTGTGTTGAGCACTTTAACACATTAACAGTCCCTGTCACTGTCATTGCCCCTCAGGACCAAATCTTAACCCAGCCCACGGTCCCCCAACATCCAGCCCAGGACAGGACCTCAAATTTCCCCGGGTGACTCCAATTGGCTCCTTTGCAAAATGCACATGTGCAAGGCGGACAGACAGGCAGCGGTGACGAGGGAGGAGAAACAGCCGCAGAGCCCAGGGGCAGCCAGCAGGCGCTGTGGCCGGGGCTCCGAGGGGCGCATTACCCGTCCCGCGCTGCCCAGGCTGTCTTCATCAGACTCTGACCTCCGACTGCCGTTCGAGTAGCCCTGGGTGGAAGCAGAGTGAGCATCTGAGGGGCAGAGCTCCTGCCAGAGCCTCCCCTGGGGAGCCCGGCCACAGCATCACACTCACGGGTGACCCCCGTTCCTCAGCACCCTCCCAGGTAAAGCCGGAGCCTTGTCGCCCAGTCAAAGGGTAGTGGGCTGCAGGCAGACAGGTGTGGACACAGTGCTCCCTTTCCTTTGGGGGTGAAGAAGAGGAACCAACCCAAGGGTGCGGGCCCCTGCAGAGCCCCCAGGGAATGGGACCATGGGCTTCCTCACACCAAGCTTCCTCCTTCCTACTGTGCCGAGTCACACCGCCAGGGCCAGAGGATGCCCAACAAAATGGCCTCGGTGAAGCCCTTGAGTGTGATACCCCCAAGGCCACCCTCACCTGAAGGTGCAGGTGCTGCACCTCCAAGCTCGCCCCACCACCCGCACCAACACTGCTCCCACCCGGAACTCGCATCCTCTCCTCAGCAACCAGAGGCTCCAGCTCCACTGTTTTCAACCTTGCACCCACCCGCCCACACCTGTCCCCTTCCTGTCCATTATCACCCTGGTTACCTTCCTTGTTGCATTTTTCCTCATCAGAAGCAAAATTGGTAGTTTACCATTCATTTCCCCCCTCCCCCTTAGCTTTTTACCCTTTCAGAGGACAAACAAAGCTAAAGGAACTCTGTTTCTGTTTTTTGAGACAGGGTCTCGCTGAGTAGTTCAGGCTGGTCTTGAACTCACTATATAATCTAGGCTGGCCATGAACTCATGGCGATCCTCCTGCTTCAGCCTCCCAAGTGCTGGGATTACAGGTGTGTGCCACCACACCCAGCTAGCAACAGGAACTCTGCTCTCATTGCCCGGGGCAGGAGGCTTACGTGTTCTTGGGGCTCAGGGTCATCCAGCTCTCCCCTCTTCTCACTGGGGTATCCACTATCCCCACTGTTCTCAGAGTCCTGTGGGAAGAAGATGATCTCAGGGTCCCAGTAGTCCTGAGTTCCCGAAGTTGGTGACATTCACACATCCCTGTCACTGGCTTTCTTTCCTGTGTCCCAGCGTCCTTATCTCCCGCCTAGCCCCTGCTGGTTGGGCACCTGAGAGCCGTACAACACAAGTTGGGCTTGAATTTTACCTTGGTTACTCTCCAGCTGCGGCCTGCAGAGGTGTTCAACGTCTCTGAGTTTCCATGACTTTACCTATGGGATTCACTTTAGCACCTCCATTACAGGGCAGTGCGAACCAAAGGAAATGTCACTGAGCATGCGGGTTGCTGTAATTAGCAGTACTCACGGGCACTTCACAGGCAGAAAATGAAGGATGGTTCAAGGGCTATGACCCCCATACAAGTGCGGCCCTGGGAATTACATTTACCGCAGTGAAGCCCTCTGCCCCAACTGCACACAACTCCTGAATGTATTTTCTATCTCCTAGATAAGAGTTCTGTTCTGACAGGAAATATGGCGCCATTTAAAAATCTTTAAAATTCTTGCTACTAACACAGAGTTCCAGCTGTATTTGCATGAAGAGGCATCACTAGTCACCTAATGCTCTTATTTTGTTCCTTCTACCAAGAAGTATTTCAACAAATAAAAATCAAGAATGCTAAAATAAAAACAAAAATTTAAAGATGCTACAGTAAACTCCTTTGCACCTACCACCCAACTTTGTCAACTCTTCAGATTTTTAATTTTCAAAAGGAGCTAAAACATCACTATTGGCTGAGAGGGTGAGGCAGGAGGATCACAAGCTCAAATCTAGCCTGGTCAGTTTAGTGACTTAGCAAGATCCTGTCTCAAAATGGAAAAAAAAAAAAAAAAAGTGAATTTGAGCTTCTGACACGATCAATGTAAAATGTGAGTACAATGTAAGTGAGAAGGTGGCTTCCACAAGTATGACATTTCTGCTAAGTCTGTTCACACGCATTTTTAATCGGATGCCATGATATGCCTTTGGGTGAATACAAACACCACGCCTTTAGTTTCTCACTACAGAGTCAAGCTTAAGCTGCAGAAAGTATTCTGTCTATCCAGCTGGAGCACATCAGCACTGTCTCACGTCCGAGAGCCTGCCCAGGGTCCCAGGAGCCCACCAAAGCAAACCTAGGGCTGAACCTGGCACCTGCTAGAAGGTGACACTGTGGCTGGTGTGGACGCTTCTCCCCTGACTGTCGCCAGGGCTGCAGTGGATGGTGCTCCTCCTGGAGGGAGGCTCTGCCTTGGGCAGGAGCTGACTCAGCTGTGTCCCCTGCTGCCCCCACCCCATACCCTCCTGGGTCCCAGAGGACACCAGGGCAGGCTGCCCACCTGAATCTACATTGGCCCTCACCTCCCATGGACAGCGCCCACTCCTCCCAGCCTGCCGGGGGCTGGAGCCCGCAGCTCGCCTCCCCCAACTCACCCGGTGGTTGTGCAGACGGTCGGGGTCCCTGGGAGCCATGTTATCTGGGTCACCAAACACGGGCCAATCTGGACAGAGATGGAGACGGTGAATGGATTTCCCTGTCACTGCACCTGTCACCAAGCCTTTGTGCTGTCTGTCTCTGGGGAGGTGCAGTTCTTTCTCGAGCACTTATTCAAAGACTGCCACCTGCCTGCTAAGGGGTCCTCAGCAAATGACTTCACCTTGTCCCTCCTTGGTGTCATAATGCGGTCAAATGGGCAACGTGCTTAAATGCATGCCTGGATCTGAATACGGTGCAGCTGTGAAGGAAGAAAAGTCATTTGTGCACCTGGGGCCCAGTGGGAGCACCTCATGGCTTCCTCTCCTGGTGATTCTCCAGCTTTACCTCCTGCCCTAAGCCCTCCTGAACCACGTCAGTGTGGCTGCCTGTTTCCATAAAGCTTGTAAGAATGGGGACTCTGTGGTACAGTGTGTCTAGCGGCTGTGAGGCCCTGAGTCTAATCCCCAGTGAGAGAGACAGAGACAGAGAGGGACAGAGGGAGGAAGGGGGAGAGGGAGAGACTGTAAGAATTGATTTGACATTTTTTAATTGACCAAAACAATCAAAACTACAGCCAGGGGTGGTGGCACATGCCCGTAGTCCCAGACACTAGGGAAGCCAAGGCAGGCAGGAGGATCACCTGAGCCCAGGAGTTCAGGGCCAGCCTGGGCAACACAGACTCCATCTCAAAAACAACTTAAAAATAAAAAGAGTATTTTTTGATTTGAGAGAATTATATGAGACTTAAATTTCAGTGTCTATAAACAGAATTTTATTGGAATACAGCCACACTCATTCACTTAAATATCATCTATGACTGCTTCTATGATGCAAGCACAAAGACCACGCGGCCTGTAAAGCTTAAAATATTTACTCTCCGGCCCTGTGAGACAAAATTTGCTGATCCCTGCTCCGGACTCTGCAGGGGTCCTCCCCCTAGGGACCTGAAGGTCCTCCTCTCCGCTCAGCCTGCTCCTCTACAGCCGTTCCCAGCTGAGTAAAGAGCCACACAACCTTCCACTTCCTCGGGCCAAAAACATGGGAAAAAATCATTCGGCTTTCTTTGACCCATTAATACGATAGCAGATTTTCTAATGTTGAATAATCCTCAGATTTAAGTGCGACAGAGTATACTTTTTAAGATACTATTAGTTTTGGTTTGTTAATACTTTACCAGAAATATAATATACATATATAAATACATATTTATATATATGGGATGTAATTTTCGTTTTTGGTGGTCTGTCAATTTTTGTATAAGAGCTTGCAAGTTTCATAGAGCACAATGAGTAATGTTACCTTGTTTTTTATAATACAGGTTGTTTTTATAATATTTTTAGGACTTATTGCTGTCTTCGAAGTTCACTGGAACAACTCACCCATAATCCACCGCAGCCATAAACCTTTCTGAAATCACGTCTGATTTTCTAACATGAATGAAAACCAGTTTCACCCAGCCCTACCTGACACCTGTCCCCTCCAGCACATTGACCAGGGGCCAGACCATCACTCACGGAAGAGGTCCAGTTTCTGGCTTTGTGGGGTGGCCGGAGAAGGAGAGGAAGAGAGAGAGTCGAAGGCTACGTCACTCATGTGCTCATCTCCAGAGTTCTCCGAGAGGCGGAGGAGCAGTGGGGGCCGACTGGCAGAGAGGGTCCTCACGCGGGGACTGCCACACTTCTCCTCGGTTCCTCTCAGCATGGTCTTGGCTGACTGCTGGGGACAGTTACAGGGTATTTGTGTCATGCAGGCACCCTCTGGGGGAAGAAGGGCTCTTTTTGCTGTTCCCTCTAACCCTGAAGCCCTTTCCTCATGGGTTTTATACGTGTCTAACAGAAAATCTTAAAAAAAAAAAGGCGGGGGGCACAGGATTAACCCTACAGCATCCAAGAAGGGGTACATGGAACAGAACTCCAAGATCCTACGAGCCGCCACCATGCTGGCCGTGCTTTACAGCCTTAAACTGAAGAGAACACTCAGTCTGTGTCCACAATCCCAAGCTGGTCTGTGCCAGTACCGCCCTGCATCTGGGCCATGGAGCGGTCGGGAAGCCTCACCTTTCACAGAGCAAGACGCTCTGAGAACCAGGGGTAAGTCTAGTCCACTCATTTACCAGTATGCTACACGATCACACACCGCACGCCCCTCACTTCTCCATCTGCCTGTTTTCCTCACTCTGGTCACTAATAGGCCCAACTCAAGCAGATGGCAGTGTCCCTTGTGGGGACAGAGGGAGGGCTCAGTGGGCTGAGTTGGAGTGTTCGGGATGAGGCACAGATGGGATGGATCTCTCTAGTCCTCACGTCCCTCAGTTAAACATTTCCAGGCCATCGGGAGGCAAAGCCTGCCATCTGGGTGGCAGAAGGGCAGCCAGGATGAGTGGGCTCCTACTGGGTACCCACCAGCAGCTTGGTGTTCTTATTTACTGTGTCCTGTTCCCGTGGTGAGAGGTCAAAAGGAGTCAGGTCCATGCTCCTGCAGATCCGGTTGCAGGCATGAGAGTAGAAGAAAAGGGCCATGCCCCGGACACCTGTGGACAGAGCAGGGGTGTCTCAATAAAAGGGGAGGCAACAAAAACATGGCCAGGGTGGGCATGTTGAGCTGTTGTCAGGGGGTCAGGCTCCCCCCTGATGAACCTGGGAAGCCCATGCAGGGTCTCAGCCAGCTTCCCTGGGTGTACAAAGAACTTACAGGTTTTAGGGGGCGTGTGATCACCATGCAAACTAGCTGGCTTTCACCTCTCACCTAGGTTGCCATCTCCAAAGTCTGTGCCCGCCTCGGTGTGAATCTGCGGATCAGTATAGAGGTCACCCACACCCTGAATGTCCACCACAATCAGCTGATGGCCAGAACGCTCAAACGTGAAGTGGCTGAAAGCCTGGGGGTACAAATGAAGAAAGGTGATTGCAAAAGACCACGCTGTGGGCTGTGCAGACACTGGCAGCCACTGTGCTGGGGGTCACAACACCCCATGTCTGCCCAGGCTGGGCACATGAGGAATCTCACAGAGGAAAAGACAAAGGAAGGAGGCCTGTCCACTTCTACAGGGATACAGTCTGGTAGCCATCTAAGTCTGCTAACAGAAGCTGGCACTAAGTGACAGAATTTCCTCAGAATGCTGCCAACGGTATGAAAGGCCCCTGGGAAAGTGGACTTTATATCCACAGGGATTCTCATTGTAGGGGCTGGACCTGGCCAGACTTCACACCAAAAACTGGGTTAGATGGAGGGTGGAGGTGGAGGCAGAGCAAGTGGAGGGCCCTACCTGTGGTGTCAGGCGGACGTTGTCATCACGGACAAATCCCGAATTGGAGTTGTACTTGATGTACTTTCCCTCGATGTAGTGCTCCAGGTGGAAGAGGGGCTTGCCTGGTCTTTCCTTCAGCTCGATGATGCACATCTGCATGATGTCCACCTGCCAGGTGGTCAGGGTGGGGGGGGTCAAGTGGAACAGCAGGGACTTGGGGAGGTGTGCTCTCTTCTGTTCGGGCTCAGATCCTGCATCCATCACGTACTAGCTCTCTGTGGCAGGAACTGCTTACTGTCAGCAAGAACCCATTCTCCCTTTTTATTTTTAGAATGAAAACCCTGATCTCTGAATTTCAACAGGATGCACAACCAGGATGCATTATAAAGAACATGTTGCTTGGCCTCCCTTGCAGCTAGGTGAAGTCATATGAGCATGTCTAGCCAATAAGTGAGCAGCAGCAATGCTAGAACTGCAGCTTCCCTGTAGGCAGACTCTGCCTGAGACTCAGAACTGACCTCAAGGTCCACAGTAACTGGGGGATAGCAGAGAACAAGGCAGAAGAAACCAGTCCTCTGGATGACTTCAAGGATGCAAGGCACCAGGCCACCTATAGCCAACCCTCAATGTAGGACTGTTACATGAGTGAAAAAAAATGACTATGTGATACATATCTGTAGATCTGTCTGCTAGCAACTTAGCCTATGCCTCACACTAATAATATGAATTTGTGTGGGATAGTTCACCTCTCTGTGACTCCATTTCCTCACCTGCAGAGAGGAGGCTTCAAATTAGTACAAAAATTAAACTTGGGGACTTATGTATCCATAAAGAAGTCAATCAATGGTTGGGACATTGTTATGCTCAGCAGACATAATTCTTTTTATAGACAGAAGGTACTCTGGTGTGTGAAGTGGGGTAGGAAAAACCTATGACTTATAGCTCCTGCCTTGTTACACAAGGACTCACCCCTGGAACGTCTCATGCTTGATGCCACCCATAACACAGGGGGCATCTGGGCTGGGTTTCCCAAGAAAACATCTTTCCAGGGAGACCAAGTTAATGCACAAGTGGACAACAGCTGCAGAAGCAAAGGAGCCCAGAGCTGAAGCCAAGAGCTTCCTCAGACAGAGCCCTGAGGCCAAGAACTTCCCCTAAAGAGGCCCAGGTCACAGATCTGGCCTGCAAGGAGGAAGACGAAGGGGAGGTTCTCAGAATGTTCCCGCTCCAGTGCTGGCTCTGTCCCTATAAGGAAGCCTGTGGCAGGGCCATTTGCTTGGCTAGCAGGCTCACCAGGAGAGGGGCAAGGGCACAGGCTGAGTGGACAGCCAGTCCCACACAAACCACCATACTCATTTTCCTCCCCAACTCAACCGTATTATTTACCGGACACCTAGGTGCTTGGGAACAGCAGTGAACAAGATAAACTAAATCTCAGCCTTTGGGAAAGCACCTGAAATATTAAGTGAATGAACAAGACTCTCAGATAGCACTAACTGCTCCAAAGAAAGGAAAAAAGAAACAACCCAGAAAAATACAGCAGAGGTGACAGGGGTGGAAGGGCAACTTTAGTTAGGGTGGGCTCAGGTGGCCTTGCTGCTGAAACCTGAACCACTAGAAAGAATGTGCCATGCAAGGACTGGGGAAGCACGGATGTACACCGTGGGCACAGCCAGGACAAAGAGCCTGGAGCAGGTACAGGCTCAGAAGGGATGAGCAAGGAGCCCAGGCCAGAGGGCAGTGAATTACAGAGGAGGTCACAGCTCTTCAGAGTGGAGGCTGGGGTTTCCCATGGCCCCCAGACCAAATGTGCTTAATCAAGGGCCTTACTAACAGCAGGTGCTCAATAAACCCTGCTGGCTGTTCAGAAGAGGGGCTTTCCTAAGGCACCCACAATCAGGGCCTTGGATCTGGTCCCAAACAATGGGACAGTGGTGCTGTGAACCAAGGCAGGGCAGAGACATGGAGCAGGGTTCTCTCAAGTACCCACAGGCACAGAAGTTGTGCAGGCCCCAGTCACAGCACACCTGTAGGCTCAAGAGACGAGGCCAGCCTGGCAGAAGGTAGGAAGGCCTGGATTTGAGCCCTGCCCCATCCCTGGCTGGTTGGGCAAGTCATTTAAGCTCACTGAGCCCCAAGTCCTCCAGGGAGCCAACATGACATCCACTCCCACTCCTGCTTGTTCTTGGGAGCTACCTGGTCCCCAGCCCTAGTCCATGTGGTCTCAGTGAAATGCTCACCTTCCTGGCTGTTAAGGGTGAGAACAAGGCTCAGGCTTTCCCAATCCACATATTCTCCCCACCTTGGTCACCATGACTGGCTTAGGCATAAACACCTGCCCCATAAGAACCAATGAAATTCAGTTCTGAGACTGGACCTTCAGGGAAAATAGGTGTTGTCATCCCAACAAGACTGCTGAGAAGACAGAAAGCCAGCCTGCAGCTGCAGGGGACTGACACACCACCACAACTGTACAGACTACCGGAGAGCATGTCAACACAGAACGCCCAGGCCAGAGATGGGAGAAGATTCCTGATAACCTCGGCTTGGTCCTGCATGCAGCCGTGCCTGTAGTTGGTACTATTTTCCAGGTGCATAAAACAGTGAATTTCCTTTTTGTTGTTGTTGTTTTGGTTTTTTGAGACAGGGTCTCACTATGTAGTTGAGTCTGACCTGGAACTCACTATGTAGCCCAGGCTGGTCTCGAAATCACAGCGATCCTCCTGCCTCAGCCTCCTGAGTGCTGGGATTACAGGCATGTGCCACCATGCCCAGCTTCCTTTTCGGGTTAAGCCAATCTAACTGGGTTTCAGTATTTGCCAAAGTTCTGACTACTAGAGTCCATCTGTAAATGGGAATAAATAAAAATTAGGAACAAACAGCTCTTTGCATATAGTGTGTGGTTCAGTATGTTCATTAAGCAATTATTTGTTATTAATCACTGGAAGGTGAAGAAAGGATCCTGACACACCCTGGCTGCTCTGGGGTGGGGAGGAGGCGGGTGGGGGTGCCACGTACCTGTTTTGGGGGCTTATGCCGGTTATATTCCTCCCCCCAGAGCTTGGCCTCCATCTGTAGACGCACATCCTCAAAGTACACGTCCCTGCCCACCGTCTCAATGTAGCGCTTTGCCACGTAGTTGGATGCCCCCTTCCACTGCTGGGCATGCAGGAAGTTGGACAGCTTCTTCCTGGGGGAGAGGCAGGAGGGGCTGCTGGACACTCCAGGTTCACTGGGGGCACAGTACCCAGTCCTCAGCACAGCAAGACCTGTGGAGGCCCACTGCATCCTTCAAAGAGCTGGCAAGGATGCTGGGAATGTAGTTCAGTCATGCCACCCACTGCCTCACAAGCACAAGGTCCCAAGTTCGATCCCCAGTACAAAAAAAAAGTCACCCCACAAGGGGGTGACTGGTCACTTGAAGATCTGAAATCCCCTTCCCTTGACCTCCCAATTCAAGGGGAGATTAGTGGGCACACCCAGCTTCTCCGGAGGCTGTCCGCACAGCAGAGACCAGATGGGGAGCGACTGGGGCTGCAAGGAGACAGAAGCCACCATCTCCATCCTTGGTGGAAAATGTCCCAAATCCCCGACCTTAGGAGCCCAGCAGAGCTTGAATAAGGCCCCGAGCACAGGATGAGTCACTTACGTCCTGAAGCACTCCCTCATGGCTCCACGGCCAAAAGGCTGCAAGAAACCACACAGAGACTTAGCAGTTCCAGCCCCATCCAGAAGCAGCCTGAGCTGCTCCCCAGACACTGCCCACCCTCCTCATGGCCTATGCCTGACCCTCCCTCCTGCACCCAGCACCACATGTCAAAGAATGTTTCCCAGTCCTGTCTATAATAGAAAGAAGGTAGAAATAAAGCCAGTGAGGTAGCGCATGCCCACAGTCCCAGCTACGCAGGAGGCAGAGGCAGGAGTTTTGTGTTTGTCTGAGCCCAGGAGTTGAGGGCAACATGTGATGCTCCGCTACAATTTGTTCCTCTCTCTTCCTTCTTTATCCCCTTCCCCTCCTTCCCTCCCTCCCTTTCTCTTTTGGCACTGGGGGTTGAACCTGAGACTACACTGAGTTACATCCCCAACCCTTTATAAAGGTTTTCTGGGGGCCAAGGACATAGCTCAGTAGCACAGCACCTGCCTGGCAAGCATAAGGTCTTGAGTTCAATCCCCAGCACCAAAAAAAAAGGTTTTTTGGTTCTTTTTTTAAAGACAGGGTCACATACAGTTCAAGGTAGGCTTGAACCCACTATGTAGCCCAGGCTGGCCTGGAACTCACAGTGTGGCCCCTGCCTCAGCCTCCTGAGTGCTGGAATTAAGGGTCTTGCTAAGACATTAAATTACTCAGGCTGGGCTTGAACCTTTGATCCTCAGGCCTCAGTCCCTAGGGTTCTGGAACAATGAGCATGCATCACCATTTGGATCATGAACACTCCCGAGACCCCAGTGTTGAAGGCTCAGGTGTCAGTCCACAGTCAGTGCACTATTGGGAGGCAGGAGGCAGTGCCTTTAGAAGGATGTTCGGTCACTGGGGGCACCCTTGTGGGGAGTTACTGGGACCCTGTGCCTCTCTTCCTCTCACTATGAGGTGAATAAACTTCCTCTACCAGGGGCTCCTGCCATGACTCACCGAACCACACAGGCCCAAAGCAACAAGAGCCACAGACTGTGGACTGAACCCTCTGAGGCCATGAACCCAAATAAGCCTTTCCTTTCTCAGACATGATCTCAAGTATTTTGTCACAGGACAGAAAACTGACTAATGCACTGTTCAAAGACAGAAGGAATGAAGGAACTTTAAAAAAAAAAAGAATGAAGGAATTTAGATATGTCTATCAATAATACACTGGATCAACTGAGTATTTTTTTCAACGAAATATTATACAGAATGAACACAAAATGTTCAGCAAAAGAAGCCATACTGAAAAGAATCCACATCATATGGCTCCATTTATATGAAGTATAAAAACTGGCAAAAGTAATCCAGGGTAATAGAATTCACAGGGCTGCTTCTCCTTGGGGGAGGCAGCAGGGACTGAGGGGGGACACTGGTTATATTCTGTTTCTCAATCTAGGCTGGCAACACACTGGGTTCACTTTATTTTTTGAGACAGGGTCTCACTATGTAGTTCAGGCTGGCTTTGAACTCCCAGCAATCCTCCTGCCTCAGTCTCCTGCGTGCTGGGACTATAGGCATGCTCCACCATGCCCGGCATGAACTTAATTCTTTCCGTTATTCTGGTCACAAACTAAATTGGATGAGAACTGAATCAAAGTTAATGGTTAGGTTCAATGTTGACCTTATGGTGAAATCTGGTTTGGTTCTTGTCCAATTCTGTTTGCAACCAGAACTGTGAAAAGAATTAAGTTCATGAACTGAGGCACACTGTATATGAATTATACCCCAACAAAGCCATTAAAAAATATGTAACACATAAGCAATAGCACAAAGAAAACCCAAAGTTTTTTTTAAAAAATCAAATAACGTAAGTGAGGAGCAGAAGGTGCAGGAACTGAAGCTGGTTTGAGGAAGTCCCCATTCAGCCCATCCCCTCAGGGCTCAGGGACCGGCTCACCTCAGACGCCATCTTGATCACAACTTCATCTTCTTGCCACTTCCCGGTGACAGCGTTGTACCTGCAGAGACAAGAGCCTACTCCAGGATGCAGTATCATCACGCCATCCCATCCCTCACTGGCTAACAGTGAAAGACCCTGGGGGCTCCCTTTGGCCCTCAGGACCTAGCCCGCTGCTCTCTACCTTGGCCTGGACCTTCGGGGCAGGTTGTGGACACTCTCCCTCCTTCCCAGCCTGTCTTTCCCTTTCCTCAAACACAGTGTTGCTTCTCTAGCCTGTCCCCATTTCACCAACTCCCCCACACTGATTTCGGCCCTGTTGTCTGTCTTGTTCTGCATGTGGCTCCCCACTAGTCTGTAACTCTTCAAAGATGACTTCTGGTTATCTTGCTTTCATGGGGCCTGATGTGTGCATACTTAATATGCCCTGGATGGATGGCTAAATACACAAATATCCTTACTATAATGGGTCTATGGAACAAACAGCACATCCCAGGTAGGAGGGTGGCAGTACCCTCAATCTTGCCAGGCAACTGGGCCAGATGCAGCCTGAGTAGCTAGGTACATGTCCCAAGAAGGAAGGACTGTCCCAGTGCAGGCAGAAGAAGGGGAAGATCCTGCCACTGAGTTCAACCTGGAAAGGGTCTGCTGGGTGTACGTGCACCCAAGGCAGAGAGATAGAGAATGTTCTGGAGAGAGACAGAGAAGGTTCTGGAACATTTCCATCTCTCCTCTGTCAGGAATCCTCTTTCACAGACAACATCTGGCATTAGGCATGGCTGGTGCTCAGACAGGTTCGCCTAGTAGAAACTTCCTCAGCTCAGTGGATCACTAATGTCTAAAAGCTCCCCTGGGCTGAGGTATTCTTATCTCTGGTCGATGGCCTCCTTTGGCCCACTTCTCAGTGGGGACAAACTCCAGAACACGCCCAGCCTGATGAACAGGTTTCTCAGAGCCTGAAACTTCTACAAGACAAAACAAGCCAAGGCCTGGCAGGTAACCTCCTCACTCAGGCAAGGACTGCTCTTCACAGCCCATGGCAATAAATGACAGCAGGGATTTATTTTTAATTTTTGTTACTAAATAGGCATGAAGGTCATGGACACAATTCTCCTTCACCTCTACCCTGAGAGGCACAAGAAGTTGGGATGGGGGAAGTATGCAACCATGGCAGAGCCTCACTTGACACCCACAACTGCTAATATCATAGACAAGAAGGCTCAAAGTTCACTGGATGTTCATGACATGCCGAGGGCCTAAAAGGATTGTTGCACTCAACCTCCCAGCAATCCTGAGGTTGCTACAGATATTATACCCATTTTTCCACAGGGGAAACTGAGACTCAATAACCTGCTTGAGAGTCAGGATTCAAATGCAGGGAGGTTTGAACTAGAATCTTGCTCTCACCTAGGCTGGTGTAACTCACAGCGATAGGAGTATCTGTTCCCAATACTGTAATAGGCTGGCTCTTAAAAAAAGAAAACCTGGAATGGAGAAGGAAGCCTCCACTTTAGAAATCTCGCATTCTATCAACTCCTGGCCCTTTCACTGCCACCAGCCAGGGCAGGAGAGGCCAGCCACTTCCCTTAGGGAAAAAGCAGTGTGGCCTGACCTCAGAGCTGAGATGAGCTCCAGAACACAGAGGGCCAGCCCAGCCCATGGATTCTGCTCTCTCAGCCCACGGTCCCCAGGGCCTGCCTGGGTGCCTAGAGTCCGTGGCCCGGAAGCCATGCATCACCAGCCAATAACCAAGAACACTCTTATAGGTAGGAAGGAGCACCTGACACTGCCGGGACCCCTGCAATTCTGACCTGGGCTGCCGGGCACAAAACTCTGACCCAAGCAAGGGGGAGCCCCTAGTAGAGAACAGGGTGGGGCACAAAGAGCTCGAAAGCCTTGTCCTCCCAGGGTGAGAACAGAATCGGGCTGCAGGAAGGGGGAGGAGGCAGAATCCGCATCTCAGCTCCCTGAAGCTAACCAGAGCCAGGGAACTAGATCTGAACAATGAAATGCATGCAAAAGGACACCACCTCAGCTGGGGACTGAAAAGCCACTGTGCTACCCTGGTGCTGTTTTTCCATTTGGCAGCAGTGGTGCAGCTATGTGTGGAGACGATGGATCTCCAAGGTGGAGGTAGCCCGGATGCCCGACTGCCCTGAAAAGCTGCTCCACTGTCACCCACCTCCAAATACAGGAAGTGCACTGTTGAAGCCCCTGGGCTGTGATATAACTCAGCCTAACCTGTCTAATACGTACCTTGCAGGACAGTAAGAGGGACTCAGCAAGGTAACACAGAGTGCCTAGAGCATGAACAAACACTCAGACACAGGCTGCTGCTTTATGGGCTGAGTATCTCTTATCCAAAATGCTTGGGACCAGAAGCGTTCCAGATTTCAGAATGCAGTATTTGCAGTTTTGACTAGCTGAGCAGCCCTACTGGAACAAAGCGTTCCAAAATCTGAAAGATTTATTTAGATTGGGATGCTTGTATTCCTCCCTTCTCTTGACCCCAGGGGTACTTGGGCCTCTCCAGCTGTGAGCAGAAACAGGCCCACGTCCTGCCAGGACTCCTCCAAGCCCCCAGACAAGCTGCTGACCTGTAGCGAGTAGCATTTTCTTTGGTAATGTCCTCGAGGTGGAACTCAGCCCAGGGGTCGGGCATGTGCTTGGCCTTCTCGATCGCATGCTTCCAGGCCTCCTGTAGAAGGCAAAGGGATAATCAGGGCCCGTTCAGAGGCCAAATCAAATATGGGTTTCCATCTACTCTTCTTTCAGGAATAGTCTTCAAGCGACACTATGTGCTCTTATGGGCACAGCCTCCCTTTGCGAAGAGAGTTGTGTCTTAATTACACACCGCTGCACTTGTACTTGAGAATGAAAACAAGATTCTGTGCTTGGGGGACAGGGATTTGGCTCAGTGGTTCCGCCACCTGCCTCACAAATGCAAGGTCCCAAGTTCGATTCCTGGTACCAAAACCAAAATAAAACAAAACAAAAAAGATTCTGTGCTTGGGATGTGGCTCAATGGTAGAGCACTTTCCTAGCATGCACAAGACCCTGGATTCCACCTTCAGCACTGCAATCAAAAAAGGGAAAGAAAAGAAGATACCATTTCACCCATCAGATTGGCAAACATTTAAATGAGTTTAAACAATTTAGCCCGTGTGATCCTGGATGTGGGGAAACAGGTATTGCCATATACAAGCAACAGGATAAACCTTTTCTACAAGGCAATCTGGCAATGTATTAGAAATTATTTTTAAAGCATCCCTTATTTTTTTTTTTTTTTTTGGTACCGGGGATTGAACTCAGGCCCTTGCACTACTTGCAAGGAAGACCACGGCACCGAGCTAAATCCCCAGCATCATCCCTTAATTTTGAACCAGCAATTCTACATCTAGGACTCGATCCTACAGAAACTTGAACATGCAAGCGTGTATACACAAGAAGTGCCACGTAACTGCACAAAACCGAATCCAACACAAAGGTCTGCCTGTGGGGAAGGGTTAAATGCTATTATTTCCATTGAGAAGGCCAAGCAGCCCTTCTAACAGACTGCACTCAGTACTGTGGGAAGTCTTGGTCCTACCAGCCCCTAGAACTCCGTTTTATAACAATTACCGTGTAACCCATTTTCACTGTCCTGTATGCCACCCGCAGGTAACACTCCAAGCTCGGTGTCCATTGGAGGCATGCCAGAGCCATGCTGCCTGCCATGTAACACAGCTCAGCTCAGGACTCACATAATTATGAGCCAGTTCCCACGACACAATTGAAGGTCCTGTGGGCTACAGTGAGAGTCACTGTGCAGAGCTTCCCTCCCCATATCAAGGGTCCCGCATCCCCTGCCTCCATCTACTTAATCCCAGGAGCACTCCCCAACATTGTGATAATCCAAGCCACCCCCCAAAACACGAGACGCACAGCATTGGCAAAGATGTCCAAAGTAAGTCACAAAGAGAGCAGCTGCTAAATGCTAGGGGGGCAGGCTGCAGTCTGAATGTGTCCCCGCAAAGGGGGGTCAGAACTTAAACCCCAGATTCATATGTTAATGACATCTGGGGGAGAGGTAACCATGGTAGAGCCCCCTTGGGGACATCAGCAGCTTTCGCAGAGGGGGTTGAGGAAGCGAGACCAGAGCTGGTGCATGCTCTGTCCTCCACCATGTCATGCCTGCAAGAGGGCCCTCACCGGGTGCCAGTTTCAGGCACTCAGACTTGCCGACCACGAGAACCATGAGCCAACTAAACTTTAATTCCTTATAAACGACCTAACACTGATTATTTTGTCATAGCAACAGACAACAGACCAAGACTTGCTTCCATACCATTTTTGGTCTTGAGAGTCTATTTTACCTAGGAAGCCTAGAGCATACTCAGTGGTACAGCTTAGCATAAAAGAGGCTCTGGGGTCAATCTTGAACACACATATACACACAAAACAAAAAACAGCAACCAAAAAACCTAGCTCATTTTATTGCTTTTGTGATGCCAAGTAGAATTCTCCCTGTTCACCCAAAACCAACTCCTACATCCACAGCAAATGGCAGTCCCCTTTTGCCTCTTCATGCTCTGTGCCCTCTCCAGCATCTGTGAGACCCCAGGTTCCTTCCAAGCCAGAGGCGGGGTCGTGGGGAGGAGAAGAGATGGTAGACCGGAGGGGGCAGGCCCCACAGCTCCGGGATGGGAGGAACACAAGGGACACCAGCATCCCTCAGGGGTCCCAGCCAGCCTCCACTGAAGCTCAGCCTCCCAGGGACTCTGACCCAAATGCAGCTGCACTCTGTCCTCCCTCTCACCGTGGCTCCTTGATGGGACCCCACTCAAAACAGGAGAGGACAGGCAGAGGAGCTGGTGCCACAGACAGACACACAAATACACACAAACTCACAGCCCAGGGCTCCTTAGCTGGGGCTTTTCAATCGCTGCAAAGTACAAAAACTAGAGCCCATAGCCTTCTTTCAACTACTTTGTAAGCTACTTTAGGTTTTTTTTTTTTCTTTTTATTGAGTTTATTGGTACATTCTAGGTATACAGTATAGTTACATTCATTACTGGGATCCTGTACCTTTACATGACATGTCTTGGTTCACATTTTTTCCCCTTGTCCCTGCCCTCCCTTCACCCCCTCCTCCCCTCCCCATTTACAAACACTTTATTTCCATTTTTTCATTTTCTCCTTTTTTTTTTTCTTTACTTTAGGCTTAATGACAACACTCGGAAAACACAGAAGTCAAATCCGACCTACGCTTTTGACCCAGGGCAACTCTTGCCAAGGGCCTTCAACAAGTCCTTTCCCAGGACTTTGACACACATCTAAAAAATAAGTCTGCAACCAATCACACGGTATATATAACATCCTGTCAGGGTTGAGTGGCTCAGTGGGATTTCATACTTTATTTGGTGACTCTGATTTATTTCCCTGACTCCAAAAAGATGACAGTGTGCAAGCCCTACAAAATCCCGAATTAGAACATGGAAGGCCTGCCTCACTACCTACTCCAAAACCACTGCTGACAACTGACATAGCTACCTTGCCAGTTCCCCCTCTGCCTTTAACACACGGGGCTGCAGCGCACATCTGTTCTGCTCCTGACTTTCCCCCACCTTCTGCGGGATCTTGGAAGGCTTTGTATGTCACATGTCCAGGCTGCCCGGCTGCCCTCCTTTCCTTTCCAAGGCTGTGGGATACAGGATCACACAGATGTCCCTGAAGGTATTTGTCTATCATCCAATCGATGGATACTTGGATTTTCTCCAATATATCCTGGCACAAACATTGCCAAGGTGAACACCCTCGTACTGCAATCCCTGCTTGCTCACGTAAGACCTCAGTGATCCATCTACAGCACCTGAGTCACATGTAAAATCTGAGCGGCTGGACCTGTAGCTCAGCGGAGGCCTAGTATGGGCAAGGCCCTGGGTTCAATCCCTAGCACTACAAAGAAGAAAAAAAGAAAGAAATTGCCAAGCCAGAAAGCTAGAAATCGTCAAGTTCTTTTTCAAAAAAGTTCTTGTAAGGAACAACAAGTGTGTGCATGTGTGTACATGTGTGTGCGTGTGTGGGTGTATGTTGCATGTGTGGGCATGCGTGTGCATGCATGTGAGTGTGAGTGTGTGTGTTAGTTTCTGGGAATCAAAGCCAAGGGTGCTTTGGCACTGAGGTAGATTCCCAGGCTCTTTATTTTTATTTAGGGCCTTGCTAAATTGTTGGCAGGACTGGGACTCGTGATCTTCCTGCCTCGGCTGGGATCACAGTTGTGCACTTTACCTGGCTCAGTGTTTTTTAACTCAAACATTCTATCATGCGACCGTAAAACTTACAACTTAGGGGCCAGGGATTTAGCTCAGTGGTTCCGCCGCCTGCCTTGCAAGTGCAAGGACCTGAGTTCGATCACTGGTACCAGAAAAAACCCAAAAAATTTACAAGTTAATCTCCAACCTGCTTTACCAGGAACCATTCTCTGCACGAGTCTATCATCATCGACTTAACTATTCACCCGTTCTCCACTGTGAACTTTGAACTTGACACTGATTTTCCACTACTCTAAGTGGCTCCACAGCAGGGGTGTTGACATCTAAAATGTTTTCTGAATTTTGATCCCTGTACTTTAAAAACGTGCCACTGTCACCTCTCACACTGCAGCTGGGGACACCTCCTCAGTCCAAATGGCAGCAGGCCATCCTCTAGAGCTCTCCACATCTCACACTCTGTCTCTGCTGCCTCTCCCTAGGCGTGCAGCAGGGGCTGTCCCCACTCAGTGAGGACGAGCATCGGAAATCACCTGGCTGGAGGCCAGGGCACCAGCCAAAGAACAGTGAAGGGAGGAAGTATTTCACCATTAGGGTGCATTGCATTTCAAAGGGCCAAAGTCACTTTTCCCAAACCCAGAAAAGATCCACGCTATACTCATTCGAAAAAGGTAAATTAGCCAGGTGTGATGGTGCATGCCTGTAATCCCAGCATGTGGGAGGCTGAGGCAGGAGGACTGCCCTGAGTTTGAGGCCAGCCTGAGCTGCATAGCAACGCTCTGTCCAAAAAAAAAGTTAATTAGATGGAACTTTTTTTTCTCTTTTGTAGTACTGGGGACTGAATCTAGGCTCTTCACACTGAGCTATATAGTCCCAGTCTTTTCTTGTTTTTTGTCTTGAGACAAGGTGTAGCTAAGTCATTAAGTTAGTCATGTACCATCATGCCTAGTGTTTTGTTTTAAAGTATAATATACCTAGCTACTCAGGAGGCTAAGGCAGGAGGATGACAAGTTTAAGGCCAGCCTGGGAAATTTAACGAGACAGTCAAAAATAAAAAGGGCTAAGGAAGTGTCTCAGGGGTAAAGAATTTGCCATAATTTCATGAGGTTGTGGGTTCAATCCCCAGTACCACAAAAATGAAAGCGAGGGTGTAAGACTTGAATAAGCTAAAGTGACTCCATGCTAATAGGCCAGACTGTGCTTCTTCATATGCTAATTGCTACCCTGGCTAACAGCCCGCCCAGGGGCAAATAGTATGACAAATGGTGACCATAGAACATTGCCTGCATAAAATAAGCAATGCGTCTGCAGTCTTGTTCTGTGAATTCCCTCACTCTTTGTTTAGAAAAACCTTATAAAAAGTACCTCAGCCCCTGAGCAGTTGCCTCTCTGAGCTACCTGGCTCCAGGAGTGCCGTCTGGCCAGACTAATAAAGGTCTATTTACCA